CTTAAACCTTGAGATTTGCGATTTTTTTAAAAAAAAAACAACTAAATTTCAAGGTTTAAGCTACTTTTTTTGATAGTATATTAGTAATATGTACATGATAATTATGTAATAGTGCCCCAGATGTTTAATAGGGAACGACTTAGGATTTTGTTATGGGCCAAAAATTTGTTGTACTAAGAAGAGTGGTTGTTATAAATACATTGGCGTCGTGGATAAGCGTTTAAACGTATGTGATTCCGAAAATTTAAGTTCAATCCCCTGCATCCCTCCAGGCAAAACATGTGGAAAATTCAATGCTGGAAAATGTGCTAATTTTCAAACGTGTTGCACTGCGGGTAATAATCACTTAATTTCCATATTTTTAAAAGTTTTAAGGGATAAAATCTTGAGAATAAAGATTTTTCTTTCGCCCAAAATTTTGAGCAAAAAATCTTAATTTTTGTTGAAAAGAAATTTGGGATTTAATTACGAAAAAATTTTTGTACAAAAAAACCACAATAGTTTTGCTTATGAGATATCTTTCTGAAATTTTAGGTTAATCTCAAAATAATCTTTATTTCCAAAACTCTTAATTTTTTTGACCATTAGAAGAAGAGATTTTTTTGGTTGAGAGTATTTTAAACTCTGTTTTAAATGCTCTTCTAACGAAGTTCATCGTAATATACATAATACACTAATTCATATTTGTAATAGGCACGTGTTTTAGAGACAAGTCATGCCTATAGTTCAACGAACAAATGAAACAATTAATTTTTTAAAAAAAGATGCTTAAATTCATGATTCACAAGGATTATTTATTTTTTATGTACATAAATTGAATTAACTATAATTTTTACATTAATTTATATCTCTATTTCCGATGAAAGATTGTCACTTTTATATTAAATTTTTGTTGTTCGCTTCTGTTTCCTAATTTATATTAATAAAATATCAATTAACGCCAAAAAATTAATATATGTTTTTACATTATAAGCTAATTAATATGTAATTATGCAGGCATGACAGAGATAGCTACATTGAGGATGACGCAAATTAAAATTTAATTGTTTTTATATAAAAATATATTTAATTTGGAAAAGATTATATTACAATTTTCAAAAAATTTACAGGTTAATCCCTTACATGATTTTTAGCCTTGAAAAATTATTAAAATTTTAGAATTAATTTGTCTTATTATGAAAAAAAAATCACTATTTATAAACATATCATTTTAAGTAGTGTTGTTAATTGTTAATCGTTACTTTTGAAAGTAGCGTACTATTTAACTTTTTAAAAAGTAAGTTTCACTAATTTAGAAATATTTTTAGAGTATCTAATTTATGTCCATAAACAAACATTTCAAATTCAAAACTTGGTATAAAAATATGATTAAAAATTTAAAATCTTTATTTTAAAAAAAATTATCAATACATTTGGGCATTTTTAGATTAAGAAAAAGGATCTATGGAATATTTTTATTGTATTACCATTTATTTAAAAAAAACCTCGTTTTTAATGAATTGGCTATTGTACTTAAGCTCTAAAAAAATATTAATATCAGATTATAAATCAAAAAATAAATTCCTACCTTATAAATGAGTCCAACAATCTGCTGTTTTGCAGGAGTAAGACACATTTGATAGTTCAGATATTACTAACTCTTTCATTTCTTGAAAATTTGACAAAATTCTTGCCATCAATGTATGCCGGCAAAATGTCTTGGTAACTGAAGATAATATCTTTATCAGATTGATGAATGAGGGATCAGATTGATGAATGAGGGATTATCAAACAAGGAAATTGGCTGAAATGTATCATTATAATATTGATTATGAAATCAGCCAATTTCTGAGATATCTAGTACTGATGTTCTAAGGATTCAATTTCTTTTAAATTAAATTTTATTTGGATGCAGCGCCTCTTCTAATTCACCAAAATTATTGAGATACTTTCCCAGAAATTTTAAGTGTAAATTTTTCCAAATTTAAAACAGTAATAATTTTAATAAAATTTACGAATAATATCTTTAGACGTTTCTTTAGGTTGAAGCTGCTTGATTTATCAAATGATATTATAATCCTCTGGCATTTAATACATCGAAATTTAAATCTTATATTAAGTTTTTCTTTACTGAGTTCTATTTTGCAAATTTTGGATCAAGAAATTTATATACAATTATCATTGATCAACGAATTTCGTCATCAATTTCAAATGACGGCATTTTATATTTTAAATTACTTGATAAATTAGATAATGCAGATTTTGAAAAATTAGTTTCAAAAGCTAAATTAAATATAAAGATTATAATTTTAAAATTAATTAAATTATAAATAAATTTTAGTGTAATTGAAAAGGGGGGGGGGGAATAGGGCGCCACTTAGCTGCTCTCTTAAAAAAAAGCGCGGCGCTTTTTTTTAATGGGCCATAGCTACCGATACTGAAAAAAATTAACGCTTTTAATGACTTTGATTTCAGGGCCTTTTTGAATGTATAAATATTGTTAAGGACTTCTGGGTGGAACTGTGCGGTACCGGCTCACACCGCCACTGAGAAAAAATCTCCTCTAGCCGTAACACGGCTGATTTTATCAGAGCAACAGCACATCGTATAAAAATTATAATATATTCATAAAATTAAGAAAAAAAATGTTTTCAGTTCGATATGATTATATTTTCCTTTGACTTTAAATTATTCACCGGATTATAATTATTTTAATTCTTGTTTTAAAAAATAGTAAAAAAAAAATTTGAGGAGTATTCTAATTTAAACAACTAAAGAAAAAAGAATTGAACAATAGATAAAATTTATTTACAAAAATGAGGGAATACCTGAGCACCGTAAATTTAATTTTAAAAAAAACGGCCAAATTTTATTAATATAAAATAACTATCTTTTGACAAAAATAAATATTAAAGGGTGGGTGCCTAGTCCAATGCCCTGACTTTGTATCTATTATATTGCCCTCTAGGAAATACCTTTAGGTTCAGAAAAATCTAGTCTCACTGGGATTCGAACTTAGGTTGAAGTTTGATGTGCTTCCTCACTCAAGGTCTCTAACCCCTGATCCCCATTCGGACACAATAAATATTTTATTTAAGCATATTATATATCAAGATCAGTATATTATTTCCTCCAGAATGACTTTGCACAAAAATGAAACAATTAAAATTTTAACTAGATTCATATCTATCTCGCAGGAAACCAAAAAATGTTCAATATAGAGTGAAGATTAAGAATAAGCGGGGATAAAGCCTTAATATTTTAAATCAAACATCCAAAAATAAGACCATTTTTCATCTAAAATAAAAACACTGGAATACCATCCTCATCTCCGATAGAACTCTTTTTTAACTTAGCAAATTCAGAGCTAAGTACATAACGTTCTCGTTTGTCGGGAATAATTCTGGTTGATAGATAGTGCCAAGTTAACATATAGTAGTTGCTAGAGTATTCATGATGACTGGAACAAATGAATTTCATATTTCGATTTTTCTGTATCTACTAAATCTTTGTTTAAATTTTGATGGTGTCAACTGGTACAATGTGTAAAAAAAATCCCAAGTTCGGAACCTGCCATCTTCCCGATGTAATTTAATGACTTCATCCGGTCTATATTTTGTATTTTCGCACATTTATCTATTACAAAATAAAAATTAAACCAAAGGACATGGTGTTATTATTTATAAAGATGAATTGAACATGAACGTCGATTTTAAGCCAACGAATTCGTTTTTGTGTTTGAAAATATTAACAGCACTACTAAAATTGGTTGTTGGACGCTTTCACTTTTTTTAAAAAAAAATATTTTCCTTATTATAAAATTATAAGACAAAATATTTAGGTTAATCAGATAATTAAATTTTTAAAAAACGTTCATTTATTAACACCTAACACAATAAGATGATTAACTTAATAAATTAAAAATATTCAAAAGATCTTAAGCTGATAATAATTATGTTCCTTTAATCGACAAAGAATAAAAAATTCTGATATTTATATCAATAACCTGAAAACAATGTACAAAAACCTTATTGGCGCGATTAAACATGATCTTTGCATAGAGCATCATCCTCACATGAATGTTTATCTAATTCATAATTTATAAAAATCCACTGATAGAATTAACGACTTTAGTTATTAATAAAAAATAGGCTTTGATCTTTAGACAAACTTGAAAGAATTCTGATTATCGTGTATACTTCTTGGGTTTAAATATTTATAAATACCATTAACAGCCTATTTGATGTAAAAAAATAAATATTCCAATGATATTTTTATTAAAAAAATTTGGCATCACATTTAATTTTTCAATTATATTTGTCCACTATATGTTTTCAAATTTATGTTCTTTTATATTTTGTTAAGATATTTTTTTATTGATTTGTTGTAAAACGGATGATTTTCCCAGTTTTTTTTCTTAAGGTTGTGTCAACTCATAGGAAAATTTTTGTTAAAATTTTGAAGCTTAAAAAAATGCTAAAAGGCGTATTTCGCGGTTTTCAATAAAGTTTTGAATGTTTTAGAATAAATTTGATAATTTCGACGCAGGCTAAAATAAAATGTATTTCATAGCCTATCCCTGATACGTGTTGATTTATTAAAATAAAAATTTTATGCTTGTGTTTTTTTTGTAAAAATTTTAGTTAATGTTTTAGAACATTTTTAAGTTTGCCCCAAAAGACCTTTATAATTTTTTTGGGTCTAGTTATGGCAATGACTTGAGAGTAATAATTTTTATCATAATCTATTAATATTATAAATGTTATCAATATAAAAACAATTGTATTATTTGTGTAACATTTGCAATTTCTTATTCAATATAAGGGGTAAAAAAAATATTTAGCATTATTTTTTTGCCCTTTTAAATTTATTAACTCTAATTATATATTAATGTTATATAATAAACGTATATTAATAAAAATAACGTAGTTATATTTGAGACATTTGTATTCTTCTGCATTTTAATATATTATAATATCGTCGATATCAAAATCATATTCTAAAATACTGTTTCTTATAGTATTTAATTTATATACTATATATTTGTGTTGGTATATAAAAACAATGGATATAAATATAATATAAATATATCAATTCCATTAGATAAATTGCAGTATATTTATTATAATTTTATCGAAATAGTAATATAATACATTAGTGTAAGTTAATAACATATAAACATAAAGCTAAGTGCTAGAATAAAATATGAGAAAGCACAAGGAACTGATACAATGTTAGACTATAGAGGATAGAATGTTAGTGATTTAATAGGATAAAACGAACAAAATAGTAACTAGATAGATATATTATTTTATAAAAATTAAAAAAATATAAATGTGGCTTTAATACTCTAAAATATATTTTTGAAACCTCTTTCCCTAATTTGCTATGATAAAAAAAATTCTACCCAATTTCATCATCTATAATATTTTTGCCTTGTAGAAATATAACAGGAATTTGTAATATCTTTTAAGATAAGAATAAATAAATAAGTAATCATTCATCATTTTTTATTTATTATATCCAATCCTATTTTATATGATGAGGTTTAAGAGATGTACTAGACAAAGAGGCCAGCCTTAACGTGAGAGATGGTTGAGATGAAAGGATAGATGCTAAAACATCGGTATGCAGAGTGTCGTGCACTGGCCGTCCATTAATTTCCACGATCAAATCATTAAGTTGTATCATGCCACATTGTGCAGCTGGGGATTCGGGCGCTATACTCTGCACGAATCAAATTATATATATATATAATTAAGCTGATAAAACATTGATTGAAAATTAAAGTATCAAATATTTGACGAGTATTTCTTAAGCAAAATTTGTTTTTTAACAATTCCAACTATTATCGTTCCAAAATTATATAAATTGGACAAAATGGGGTCAAGGTTAAAAGATATAAAATGAGTTTTTTCTTAAGAAATTTAAGTATATTGAGAACTCTACCTAAAATACTTTTTAATGTGAGCTCTTATTTAGCACCTTTTACCAATTGAACACAATTATGGTCCCAAAAGTGCTCAAATTATTCTATCAGTATTGTATATTAATTTAAGAACAAACCGCGATTAAATGCTGAACAGTATAATTTCTGAAGGCATCCTGCGTAGTGTCCTCATTGACAAGTTCGACTTTAGAATCGGTATACCTGTAATCGTGATAAACTTTAATGGTTTTAATACCGAACCCAAAACCTACACGAGAGCAATTGTGTTTCTTGTCATATCCTGGATGCGGCTTCATCAATTTAATGAGAGGCTTGAGTCTCTTGATAAGAGGCGGAGGTCTAGATGCTAAATATTGATCATGACTATCGATGGCAATATAAGGATCGGAATTTGTATCGTCCAAACAAACATCAAATCTAAGGCTGTTAGGGCCCCTACTTACATGGTGATGGGGAATTTTGGTGAGCATGGCCGGGCTAATGTTGGAGTTTGAATCGGAAAATGATGAAGAGAGGGAGCGAGAACAATGCCTGGTTGTGACTTCATTATTATCATCCATGCTCTCTTTACACCTTAAATCGGCTTTTTTATCAGAATAATGGGCGTCCCCGCCCTCTGTCTGGCTATTGTTGTGGCTCCTCCTCCTCTGAAAGTAGTAAGAATATTTTGGGCGAGCCCCACCTGTCCAACCCATGGTCACGAGCCGATCGTTTTTGTAATAGGAAATCTCGTTATCACTGTATGTGTTAAATCTTTCGTTAAGGTTATTATGGCATTCATGGGTAGGGTTGCAAGATTTTGTAGGAAAAGTGTAATCTTTTTTAAGAGTAGAATCCTTCCTATTTTCCCCGCATTTTTTAAGAGCCTTATGATGCGGATGTGATGATGACATTACATCCTCTATGACGAGAGGGGACAGAGAGCTCTGGTAACGAGATGGCCCCGATTTGCAGTTGTTAGAGCTTCCGCCAACATAACTGTCGGTAGGTCGTATATTTTTGGAGTTAAAGTAATTTAGGTTATTATTGCAGCCGAAAATAAATTTCTTCTCCGAACTCCTCTTCATATTTTTATTCTCTGTGGATGGCGTTTCTTTCAATTTTTTCGGAGAAGTGGGCTTTGGTGACACGTTCATTCTATCGTTATAGAAACTCTGTCGTAATACGCCAGTATTGGATATATTTTGGGGAGCCTCGCTAGAACCCCTAACTATGATGGGGCAAATTCCTTGATTTAACAAACATTTCCCTTCCAAAAATATCTTGACATCAGGTTTATCGAGCCGAGGGGAGGCTGGTGCTGATCTAGCAGATAAATTCAATAATTTTTTGGTTACCTTCTTGACAGCCCCTTTTCCTTTTGTTTCAGGTTTCACGATATTCGTTTCGGTTTCATGGAAATGAAAGGTCCCTTCAACATCGGTTTTGGGCTCTTCAAAATCTTTTTCCTTGACAATGTAATTTTCGGTGGAAGACCTACTCAACTCCCTATCATTCCCCTCTTGATCATAATCGTTATCAAAATGAAATGGTATGGGAGTAGACGAAGAAAAGAATCGGGCTGGGGGACTTGCAGGTTGAGGCGTAGAGAAACGAGTGGCGGTCTTGAGTTGGGGATCCGGGGAGAGAGGAGGTATGAGACAAGAGCGGGATAAAAGCCGCGCGAAATTAGGGGATGTAGATGCAAAGGACGGAAGCATTAATTTAGTAACTCCGAGATTCCTCTTGCTATTCTTTCTCGAATCGGAGGCTATTGATTTTTTTAAAAAAAGGATTAAAATAGATTGGGGGAAATCTAATTATTATTCACCATTAATCTACTCCACCTCCCTCCTTACCCATTTTATATAATAGTTTAAATTCTAAAGATGTAAATGCTAGTAATTAATTAGTAAGGGGGAGGGGGTAAGGTTAGTAATTTCTTAATAATACGTTTGGGGGTAATTAGATTAGAAGCGTCCGAATCCGAGTTATGACTCGTGACGATTGCGTAATCCGCGCCCCTCGTAATGTTTGAATTCATATCAGAGTCATTATTGTATTTATCACTGCTCGTAGAACAGGAATCTTTAAAAATAACAAGATGTTAAATAATTATATAAATAAAATATATTAATCTTAAATAATGTTGAAATATTTGAGAAGCAGCTCTACCCATCCCTATCCTAATGACAAAATACTTAACTCTTACACATTCGTCGAGTTAACTATGTCCAACCTTGTCAATTTTTTTGTGTTATTTGCACAATGTGTGATTAGGTAATATTGATAATGTATTTTTGTGGGGATTCGGAATCTCTCAATTTTAAATCATTAATCGGGGGTAATTTCGTAAAATATTATTTTTACCCAACAACAAATTACCGCGTGCACCGAATAAATAATTACTGCAAATTTTAGTCCCGTGAACTTTTTATTTTCTAAAAATATTTATGAGAAAAATCAATATAGAATCAGAGGATTCGAAGATGATATCACGTTTTTATAGCTGATATCGAAACCCAATTTCGATCCAAGAATATTTGTTGGTAAAAAAAACGGGCAAGAATATTATACATTCATCAAATTGTATCACTTATTAATTTATGAAATTTATACATGTAAATTAAAAGTTAAAAAAAAAAGAAATAAGAGATGAAAAAATTTTTTTTTATTAGTGTTGGGTGCAAAAAAAGAGTAGTTGAAAGTTGAAGACAAAATGTCTGAAATTCATAGTGTGGGTTATTCTGGACACGCTAAAATATAATTTCTAAAAATCGAATACAAAAATTTAAAAATTGCCCTTAATAAATGATATAAAATTTTGAGATCCATAATCAAAATCCATATCCCAATATGACATAGAGCATATATATAAATATAATATTATTATTAAAAATCCCAAATTCTAATATTTTTATAATAAATATAAAAGTGATAGAAAAATTTCGTAAATGCTTCTTAATAATACTGGCTCTTCTATCCAAATAATTTTTTTTTGTTTTTATAAACTTCTTTTAAAATTATCATTGGTGGTATTGAAATAAATTTCGCCAGAAGAAGATACTGATGACGGGGTAGAGGAGACGGTCAAGGCGGCGAATCTGTCGCGAAGAGTGAACGAATGATTCGAAGAATCTTTCGATTCTTCATAATTTTGATACGAAGTGGAAGCTAAAATTTTATTTTATTTTTGAAAATTGTTTTTTTTTAAACCTTTCAAAAAAATTTATTTTTAGTAGGATTGGATATGAATGAAGTTTCTAATAATGGTCAGATCTGGCACGATTATTTAATATTTCTTGACTTACCTTGGTTTCCATAATTTGTAGGAGCAAAGGACGACCTATCATAGGTACTCTCCTTGTAAACGCTCCCAAAGTCCTCGGAGCTGGAGAAGGCCTCGCTCGAACGCTCTGATCTTGCCATACGAAGCGCGCCTATCCCTTTCGTTATTTCGGCGACTTCGTTGCAGGAGGTAGTAGTGAAGTGAGAAGAATCTGGCATAGAAAGATTGTCTTCTTCTTCGTCTGAGTGTTGATATCTTCATTTTAAGTATTAGAAATGATGTTGAAATTAAAAAGTTAAATAAGTTATATCACACAAATTTGGATGGATTTTATTGGCATACGACCAAAACTAGGAATTCCCATAATCAGGATTCATTTTTTTATTGGGTAAAAAAAAATATCATTATTTCCCTAGAAAAAAAATTAAGGTAACGATTGAAAGTTATAGTATGGGTTAGAAGTTAAAATATATTAAAAATGGGTGGTATTGCCTCTTAAAATATAATTACTAGTGTTGTTGATTTGGGTCGATTTTTGAAAAGGGCCCGAATAAGATTTTAGCTAAAATAATATTATGTAAGCCTCGAGATTTGGAAAATAGAGGTCCGAATCTTTCTGCTACCTAAGAGCAAAATCTCCTGGATTACATAATATTATTTCCTAATCGGTCCGCTTCATTATTCTGCACAAAAATTATTTTAAGAAAATCTTAATTTAATTCCAATTAGACCTTAAACTTTTATAAGGGAAAAAATCTAATCTTTCTATAAAAAAAATATGCTTTAAAAATGGACTTAATTATCAATAAAAAAAATACTCAGTTTATGACCATAGAAATATTTACCCCCAAACTTATATTTTTACCTTGTTAATTGTGAAAGGTTATAAATCCCAAATATTTAACACACTAATTCTTGAGCAATCAATTATTTATTTATCTTCTATCGGTGTTCGATAAAATTACAAATAGTTCATATGTAATTAAATACTAATCTATTTTAAGACAAATGGAAGATAAAATTTTTTTAAAAACAATTAAAGCTATTTTCGAAAAATAAAAGTTTCGAAGGTGCCTAAATATGTAAATCTTAGATAATTTGGTTCACTTTCAATATAGTGCTTTCCTTAATAATATCCACTCCGAAATTTCGCTTAAAATATTTCATCAACAAATTTTGACTTTTTTTTAAGAGCTTGCTATGTATTGCCACAAAAAAACCAATGCATATTATAAAAATAACCTATCAGATCTAGCATCGAAATAACTAGTGTCTTCATCGTTGTCTAACCTAGGAATGAATTCAGCCTTTTTCCTTATAAGACCATCCCAATTAACGCTGACAAAAAATGGATGACGTTTAATATCTGCCGATCCATTGTAACTGCCCAAACGATGGGCTGGGTCCTTAATGAGTAAACCCGATATGAGGTCTTTGGCTATGGGACCTAAAAAAATATCAAAATATTGGCTTTGCATTACATTTTTAAAAGGAAGAATTTGATAAGACGTTAAAAAATATAAGAATGAATGATGAAAAACATGTTAAAAAGGCAATCGAATAACCTTGCTTTATATATATATTACTACACTCATCATTTCATCTATCCAGCATTCATTCTTGATTTTATTTCCTTATTTAAACTTTAATCTGGGTAAGGCGCAGATCTTAAATATATGAAATCATCGATGCTTTCTATCTGCCACTCACCAAAACCAATCGTTTTATTAGGCTGTTATCACTAAATTTTGTCTTCTATTTATTACACGAACCCTTTCGTTCAAATTACTCAAAGGCGTAATCAAGTGGGGGGTGGGGGGATTCCCATCATCACAAATTTGCCTATTATCATTAATATCATTTAAGCTAATAAAAATTTCCCTCTACAAGCCCCTTCTCCCCAAACCGTATAAGGAAGAATTTGAAAGAAAAATTAGTAAAATTTAATAACTTAAAAATAACGACTATAATTCAATTGTTGAGAAAAAGCATTTTAATGAAAAAAAGTGAAACCCCAAATTATTTTTTATAAAAATCTAATAGAGCAAAAGGCCTACAATAAGTGGACCTAAAAATCTCCAATAAAATTTATGAGGGAAAACTACCTAATAGTGCCTACCCCTTCCTTAGCAAAATCCTGGATACGCCTATTAAATCACCCATCACTTCCTGCCCACATTTTTATATTTCAGCATAAGCATTAGTGCATATAGCTTTGATAATAAGACATACCTCTACTCTAGTGTTAATAGCTATTCAAATAAAAGCGATCAATAAATCGGTTCTATATAACTTTAATAAATACCTATAAGCATTTCGCCGTCATCTTCATCGTTTTGGACTTGATCGGGCCATTCTATCTCGCCTTTCGTGATTTGTTCGAAAAGATCGAGAGGAGATGATTGATCATTCATTGCATTTTCATTGCTAGAGTGTGAGATTTCGTTATCTATATGGACGTAGAATGGGACGGTCCCAGTCAAAAATTCGTAGAGAATTATGCCCATTGACCACCAATCAACGGGCTTTCCGTAGCCCTGACCAAGGATAACCTATAATGTGAAAAAAAAATGTTGAGTCAAAAATTCATTTATGTTGGTCTTAGATTAAAACCGGGTTAGGCAGTTTGATAGAACAATCTTTGAGTTCCAGGTCGGTTCAGACCGTGGTTGAGATCGTTTCGGAAAAGTAAGTTCTAAGCGTTAAGTCACATATATTCTTTTTAAACCTCTGGCGCTATATATTCGGGTGTCCCAAAAACGTTCATATCCTTAAAATACCGGATCGAGTTGACGTCTAAAACACTGGTATCATCGTCTCTGGCCGTTTCCCAGAAATAATAATCAGCCAGTTCTTCGAATTCCTGGTCCTCGTTCCCTTTGTTATCCTTGTGGTCGTTGTTATCATGCAAATTTTCGTTTTCAGTTTCTTCCTTATCTTTATCGAGTTCCTCGCGGGGAGAAAAGTCGCCATTTTTTCTCTGATTAAAATAATCATTAGTGAGGGACATCAAACCTATTTTAGAGAGGCCAAAATCGGTTAGTTTAATGTGACCGGTAGCGGTTATAAGAAAATTCTCGGGTTTAAGGTCTCGGTGAATTATGCCGAAATGGTGGAGGTATTCGAGTGCTAAAACAGCTTCCGCGAAATAAGGTCTTGCTAGGTCAAGTGGGAGGCGATCTAGAGGTAAAAATAAATCAAATATTGAGTTTGATTGGCGTTTACACATTAATATAAGGTAATATAATTATAGATGGGGAGCTTAGAATAACAGCATTTTTTTACGTTCCTGTTCCATTTTGATTACACTCACTTATTTCATTCCGGTTTTAGCGTCCCTGCGACTTAATTTCTATTAACAAACATATTTCGATCAGCGGTCCGATTAAAGGTACCCAGTTATAATATATTACTCGCCCTTTTGTTTGAACAAGTTCCCGTTTCTAAATTCGGTTCTTAGGGTTCAGATTCCAAACACTGGATTTAAAAAAAAAATTGAAAATTAAAATGTCACTCAACGAATATTTTTGAGCAAGCTGGCGCAGTCTCCCCCTTCAACGTATTCGAGTATAATGCAAAGATGGGTATCAGTTTCGAAGCTTCCGTACATGCTCACCACGAACGGGTTATCTACGAAGGTCAAAATATCTCTTTCGGTGAAAATTCTTTCGAGGGAGGATTCTTCCAGGCTATTTTCTCGCGATCTGTAAAGATTACTTTGGTATTGCTGGTCGGCGGCGCTGACTATCAGGTTCCGCTTGCTCAATTTCTTAAGGGCGAATCTCATGCCTTTGTATTTCTTCGAAAAATGCAGGAAGAAGGGGGAAGGGAGAAGTAAAAAAGAATAAATTGAGAAATTTCTTAAAGATATTAATGGTTATATTTCCTTCTATTCCTTCATTTTTTCTTCTCTTCACCTGATTGAATGTCACAATTATAAAATAAATTTTAAGAATATAAAAACCAAAAGGAAGGAAAATATTTGGACTATTAATTTTCTCATAATTTGTAATAAAAATGGAATAAAATAGACAAAAAAAAGAATTATTAAATTATTATTAGTTATTGCTGAATATTAAATGCGTAGCATTTCAAAATAGAGAATAAAATAAGAGTTTTGAGTTTGATATTTCCTTTCAGAGCGCGGGCCGAGTCAAGAGCCTAGCATGGGTTTAAAATTTTTTCACCATCAAGCCAAGGATAGGCTCGGACCTAAAAATTTCCATTCCGCGGGTCTATATAGTTTATTATTTTGGGACAAGGGTGCCTGATACTTTAAGATATCGGCCAATATTACAGACTGATTTAACAAAATTATGTAGTGTTTGTTTAATGTTTATTTTTTTTAAAAAAACATGTACACAAAAGAAAGATCAATATAAATCATTAGTATCGGCAAGTAGGATAGACTTAACTATGCATATCAGCACAGCATTTGGAGCAATGTTTAACTCGAAGTATAATCGTTGAAATTATACAGATTAAATAGAAAATTTTGTATCCTTTTTTATTTATTTGTAATAGGAGTTAATAATTTTTTTTTATCCCTTTTGAAGTGATAATGTAAAAAATAATAATAAGAAGAAAATTATGTGAGATACGAACCCCCGTTTTAAAACGGTGATATTCATATTATTATATAAGAGGTGTGCAAATGGCAAAATTCAAACCCTACTCGGGTTTTTGCCCGGCTTACCCTGGCTTCAATTTTTTTACTAAGGTTACCCGGCCTGGCTAGTCTTTAAATACATGACCTAAACTACCTGGCACAACGTAATGAATTGGAAGATCCTTGCAATAATTGTATATTTTAAATACTTTTAAGTAAACCTTAAATTAATTGCGCAATATATTTTTTTAAAGATTTAGTGGTTAATACAAGTTTTTTTTGTAACGATAAAATTTGAATTCCCTGAATAAAACCTTTTCATAAATATAGTTAGATAGAAAATAAAAGGCTACCGAAGATCCCAGGTAAAATACCTCAGTAAGTAAAGTTAATATCGAATTTACCTAATCACTTCAAGGTTAAATTACTATAGTATAGTATATTATTTTTGAAAATGTACTTTAGGCTATGTTCTAAATCTTGTTAAATTCGCAAAAATAAAAAAAATTGTCAGAGGTTTTTAAATTTTAATCAAATCGTATGTTAAAATATTTAAAAATTTTCTAAAATTATGTTCAGAACATGTTTTTATTTTTATATTAAAAATTGATTATTTAGTTTTTTTTTCGTTAAAGTTACGAAAGTTTCCGAATTTAATTTTTTGATATTTTGGCCACATCTTTATATATATATATATATAAAAGCATTAATATAACATTATGGGGGGAAAAAACCTTATGCCTAACCAAGTAGACAGACGCGTAGGCTCCGTTGCTTATTAATTTAACAATTTCGAAATCCTCCTCTTTCGGTAAAGGTATCTCGAATTCCGCCGCGTTACGTTCACGCGTATGATCGAGAGTTTCATTTTTCTCATCTTCAACGCCGGTCGAATCAATAATCTTGTTGTTGTGCAGTGTCGTTAAAAATCGGTAATCTACATTTTTTAATATTATAATGAGGTGTTTATTATATTAAATATCTAAACCATGTAATCGCCAACTTTTTCCATGATCTATAAATGTTATTAGTTTGCAGACCTGGTCCTGTTCGGAAGTAAAATGGTATACTTTTCAAAAATAAAAACAGACTCAATAAAAAAATATATAAAATCCAGCAGGCAGGATAGAGCTATTATACTGTAAATGATTTTATAAATTAAAAAATAAAATTAAGCTCAGCTCTTCTCTAAGAGAATTTGTACGACCTCTCATCCATAGTTAGCGGAATCGCGTGGAAGAATACAAAATTATTTTGTTTATTTCGCCGAAAATTCACGCTAACTGTGAATGAAGGGTGAACCGAATATTTCTTTCGGGCCGGATTGGGCAACAAGAACATAATTTTCACTATTTTTAAAATAGTTATTGGCCGGGCGTCTTTTTAGAAATTTGGGATTTCGGACATGGCTACATTGATCTCTATTCTAAAGTCATGCCCATATCTGAGAGGCGTTAATCTCCTCACTTTTATATGTTATAAAAATAATCTAATGATTAACATAATGATAAAGTCTCACTGCACCGATCATGCTACAATATACATATTTTTTTAAACAAACAAAAACAAAGCAATTTTCCGTAGAATCGTTTTCTTCGTCAATAAAACAAAAAAAGTAAATTCTCGAACCCGCTTCTTTATCAAGGCCCAACTTCTCCATCGTGTATCTTTTGATACTTTTCCTTTTCTCTTCGTCAAAATCGCCCGAATCGTCTCCTCTTTCGCCCTTATTTTTGAGGGGACTCAATGTTATGGGGCTGTGTGTTGGGTCATCTTTGTGGCACGGCATATCTGACGCGTCCATATAAAAACTGACGGGGTCAAACTGTAGGCACTCCAGTATCCGAGCTGGTCTAGCGATAATAGTCATCAGCTTTCTCGCTTTAGCGATCAGCGAGAGATCCTTGTCGTAGAATTGAACAGAGGAACTTATGGAGCTTAATTGGGTGAGATCGGTGATCTTTCTAACCATCTCGTCAAAATAAAAATGAGTCAAGGAATTTGTTCGAGAATGTTCTAGGCAGTCACTCGCTAATTCCGTTAGCTGACGACGAGCGAAGCCCGCAGAGCAACCTAATAAAATTTATATTATGTGATTTTAAATGGTTTAGTTTTTATTTTCTATAACTTTTATATTTTCCTCCACCCACTATAATGTTACGACGTAAAACAATTTTTAAATTTATTCCCTCCAAAAAAGAAAGTTAAATTAATCAAGGTAGTAAGTAATTACTTTTAGAGGTTATCAATAAAGCAATTAAATTACAATGTTTAATATAAATTATTTTTTAGAGAAATACTTCACATAAACTACTGGTTAAACGACAAGATTTAGACAAAATAATATTATGCAGGCCTCAAAAATTCTGCCATATATGAGAAAAAATCTACAGGTCTAAAATTCTTTGGCTAAAATATTGAGTTAGCCGTTTTCAAAAAAAAGCCGTTTGACAGACCTAATATAAATTGACTTGGCAAAAATAGTGATTTTAAAAAAATGAAAAAAATCGATTTTTTGATTTAAAATGAAAATTAAAAAATTATGCACTAAGATTATAAAATATCGCTTTTTTAAATTTCAGTTTAATATTATCTTGCAAAAAGGGCTAATGCTCAAGGTAAAAAGTCAGGAAATTGTTGAAAAATTAAATAATGATATGTTGTAATTTGATATTTTCAAATAAAGAGGCGATAATGTATAATATACAGTTATTTTTTTAAAAATTTAACTATCAATTGTTTGCTGAAATAAATTTATTTAGAATTTTTTTGATTCAAATAAAAAAGCCAAATGAAATTTGATTTTTTTTCAAAATAAAATTAGCTATTGCTATTTCTCAACAGGTTAAGAATTAGCCCAATTTAAAACTCTTAATGATTGGAAGAATTTGCAAAAGATTTTTGCTTATATGTTAATAAAGAAATAAGTAATAATCAACTTTCATCCTTTGCTAAAACGATACAATAAAGCTTAACTCTTGCACACTTCTTATCCTACCTTTTAAACCAGAAATATCATTCAAATTTAACAATCAATGAAATGGAAACTACGGGAAGCTTCTGTATCCAAACACTGATATTTTACCTATCTTGGTAAAGTTTCAAGCAAGATCAAAGCCATTTACTAAAATTATCTTTTCGGATAATATAGTAAATAGAGTAGACCCAATTGAGTGGTGGGTGGCCCTGGCCGAAGGAAATTTGATGAAGGATGTAAATATTCTAAAAATAATAAAACAACTAATTATTGCATCTTCATCATCCTCTTCAGTGAGTTAATCGTTTGGGAATGTTCACTCGAAGCATAGAAATCGGTTAGAAAGAGAAAATGAAGGAAAATTGGTTTTTAAGCGATTAAATTCTAATAACAATGTCGGCGAAATAGACATTACTTGTGATTTTTATTATGTTTTTTCTTAATTTTACAAACTAATTTATTTTTTCTATTATAAAGAAATAAAAAAAAAAATTCTTAAATATGTGTAGATTTTTGATATTAGTTATATTAAATAATTTTTAACTATTGCGATTACGTTGAGCGGTTATTTTTCTACTATCAAAAATTGAAATAAAAAATAAACTTTTTCTCAAAGTGCAATTTGGTTATTTAATTTAGATTTTGTTATCTAAGTCCGTATCTTTCACTATTTTAATTGATATATCATTGATTTTTTTTAAAAAAATCGGGGTTATTTAAATTTGCCAACCCTAGATTATTTAATCAAAATGCGAAGGTTGTAAACAAAGCTCTGATATATTTCTATATCGCAAACATAAAAAAACTTACTCATTTTAGTGTTGTAAACCAACGTATTGGTGTATAAAATACGTTTTTTTAGGAAAAAAATCTAGGGTTTTTTACGTTCATGCAATCAAAAAGTTTAAAATTTTTATTAAAAGATTTCATTTTCTTTCTCAGCTGTTTCCTTCAAATATTTTAAAGTACGTTTCCCTTTTCTGTCTAGTCCATTTTTTTAAATTCTAACAAGTTTTAATCAAAATAAAATTGTATAAATATAATTGCAATTCAAATTGTCACCACATTTTTCAATTGGTTAGTGAAGGAAGATAACTAAAAATTAGGCTATTTATTTGATGCCTACAATAACGATAAATATTATTCAAATTAAAAAAACTATGCTTAACTTATAGTCAAACATTAGTATTGTCAATCAATTATACTGATATTTTAATATTTTTATATTTAAGCCTAATATATATATAAAGGTCAAGTAATATTGTAATATTATTTTTTTCATAATATCTTCGATATTTGAACTCAAATGGCCTTGAATAAGGCTTCAACGGGAAGAAATAAATAAAATTAAACTAATAATATTAATCAATCATATTTAAGGAAATTCCTAGAAAACAAGGAAATGTAGAATTTTCAGACCAATAATTCGATTCTGAAAAACTCTTTTTAAGACAATTGTGGAGAATTCGAAAGATCATTGTCTAACAAAATTTTTGAATCAATAAGATATCAAATTTTGATAAATTTCCAGAAATAAGACCTTTATCCTGCCTGCATTCACAGTTAGTACGAATTCGAGGCAAAGTATACAAAATATGATATAGATATAGGATCTTTACATTAATTTTTGTGTATACAGTGCGAGTTCTAGCTATCTGTGAATGCAGGGTTGTTTGCCATTAACACTGCAATACTAATCCTCAGCTCCGCCAGAACGCCATTTTTTAATGAAGAAAATTCAGTTCTAACTATAAAATGTTATTGTTTATCAAATGAAAATCTTAAAAACAATTCTTACTTTTAAAAAAAAATCAATAGAGAAAAATTAAATAAAAAATATTATATTTTATAATCTTATTTTAAACTATTGTACATTTTTTTTATATATTTACAGGATATTACAAAATAAATAAAAAAATATTAAACTCAACGACTAACATGATGCTATTATATTAAGCATTTTATTTATTTTAAATACTAATTGCATTTTAAAAAATTTTTTTAGATATGAATGAACGTGAACGCGCTATTATTGCATATGAATTTTTAAACGCGAACGTATTCTATTTTTTGCCAATGAACGGATTGTGAACGTTTTTTGGAAAATTATTGACAGCATTATATTTAATATACCTAAGCCCGGGTACATGGGCCGGGCCGTATTTTAATTTTTTAAGTATACCCAGGCCGGACCTAAAAACGTATATTTTAAAACTGAATATTTTAAATCGCCATTAGTTAGAAAAAGTTAGAAAAACGGGCCTAACCAAAAACCAGGCCGGGCCGAAATTTTTTTAAAAAAAAATCAGGGCCGGGTTGTGCAAATGGTACCTCTGGAGGTCTCTGAATATTATAATTGTCTTGTCACCTAAATTATTCGGATAATTAATGGTAGCGGAAGAAGTGGAATCCAAGCATTGGTCAGTTATACCCGATTCCGAATCCATCGAATCTCGTACCAAAAGAAGCATATCAGCCTTAAGTTCGTTCCGACTCGCTTCCACGAATTTGGACAGTTCTCGGTCCATTTTTTCGACAGTCTTTTATGTAAAAATAAAATATACTTCGTACAAGTAACATAAATATCTTTGCGTGTATTTACGGGGGGGAATCTTCATTTTTTGGATAGAAATTGAGTTAAGTCATTATCCTTAGGAACCTCAACATTAATTTTTTTAAAAAAAATTAAATGTTTATGCAATAAAAAAGTTCTTTTCTTATGATATTAATAACCAAATGGGTATAATGTAAACATTTTAACCCCCCTGTAAAAAAATCAAGCTACATATGCTTTAAAAAAAGTAACGAGATCAGGCAAACTAACTTTGGGAAATTTTTCTCGGTAAAATTGATTCAGGGCCACGATATTAGGCTCGCAAAAAGAATTACGATGGCTAGAATTTATAGGAGAATGGCCACCGAAGGATCTTTCGCTCGAGGCCCTACCCAAATCGTACGTTTCAGATCCGTGACTGATAATATCTGCACCCGGGGCATCATGAGCCTCCTCGTCCACTTCGCTTCCTAAGCTGGTTTCAATCTCTTTAGCGGATTCAGCGCCGTTTTTGTGCAACATAATTTGGGGTAGTTTACTCATATTTTCGGCTTGAGTCAATTTCAAATCCTCATTTTTTACCGCGCTTTTCTTGAGTTCGGTGTGCGGGGAAGGTAGACACTGAAGCGCGTTAGCCTTTTTACCAAAGGTATTCATGTTGAGCAAGATTTTCTCGTTAGAAGAATGTTGGGACTAAATTATTTATTTGCGTTCATTGTAATATTCAAATAATATTTAATGGGGCAAAAAATAAATCACTTACATTATTAATTAGTTGGGTAATGACTAAGTGTCGCTTAATTTGGCTCAATCTTTAGGTACCTGCCGGAGAAAATCCGTTAACATTAAAGGCGTTTTAATTTATATAAGTTTCTTTCAAATTAGATCGTATATCTTTTTAAGAAGAACCCCGAGGCCAAAGTGTAGTTTTCAGCTAAAAACTTTGTTTAGCAGATTTTTTGGCTTAAACGACTAAAAGTAATTACCCAACTATATTCATTATCAAGATTTCCTTTCCTTTTCTAGCGTAAGAGATAATATCTAATAATTATTATATAATAAAATGTTATAAAATGTAGATATGATTTACAGAAGAACTGAGCGGAGTGTTAGTGCCATAACCAGAGGAGTGAATGGATGCAAAAGACCAACGCCGAATATCTAATCTGTAAAGATATCACAAGGTTTTAGCAAAAAAAATATAAATCAAAGATAAATTAAATGAAAAAGTGATCACTTTTTTAAAAAAGGAATGGAAAAATGTGGAGCAGGAATGTTCGTTTTATCCGGAAATAGGAAACTTTTTTGAGTATTTTTATCCCTTTTCTTGCTAACTTGAGCACCAATTTTTGAGACAGCACTATGCGAGGACTCAGCACCTTTAATAAGTCAACAAATAAAATTACTCTAACGAGATGAGATTGAGCGTAAAGCGTATGACTAAAAACGTTTATAACTAATTAATATTCTAACTTATCGTATATATATTTAATATCGGCAGCTGAGTATTATACAGCTCTATATCCACATCTTCTTTTTGATAAATGAATTTTTCAGTATTATATTTTTATATATCCACAATAAAAGTGTTAAAATATATAATTTTGAATAATCCTTTATTTGTATTATTATACACAAGATACAAGAAACATTTCCTTTTTTTTCAATACTCTCCTAATCAATTTTTTTTAAATGGATACAGAACATTATATTACTCCGCCGACATTTTTAGTGGCAAGCCTCCCTTTTCAGAAAAAAGTGCCTTTAACCTTCTTATTTTGATCGAAACAAGGCGCCTTAATTGTGAGGAAAAAAATCGCATGTTTTCTGAAATAAAATTTTAATTGGAGTTTATAAATTTAAATTAAAGCATCCTCGCGGTATTGAGGTAAAAAAAAAAAGAGTTTAAACAATTTCAGGTATATCAAACGAGCAAAAACGAAATTACAAATTTTTTTATAATTTTATTAAATTTACCAAATATATTGCTGCGAATATTTCCATCCTCTGTATTTATCTTGACCTCGTCCCGCTTGAGCATATCAATATCGACATTACTTGGTTTGGCATCCATAGTAGGGTATTCGAAGACGGAATGTCGGCTAACTTTATTATCATCGCGATCCAAGGTAACACTTTGACATTATTTAAATTTAAAAAAAAATTAGAGTAAGTGGGTTAGTTGTTTATTGAGTGATTGTTATCAGTAATCTGCATCGGGCTTAATTTTTCGAGCCCGATCAGCCCAAAATATTTTTAAAACAAATTGTCCCGCCCGGCCCCTAAAGGAAATTTTTTTATTATTTGTCACGAAAAGTCAGACCCGAAATAAAAAAATATATTCTAAAAATAAAAAGTATATCAGCGCCTTTTGGAGTGCTCCACTTGCACAAATGTTTAAAATGTAAAAATCAACATTAAAGTTTAAATTAATAATATAGGAAAAAGTTATTGATCAATTTTGACAATAACTTTGGCAAAAATTAATATTTTAATCTAGTTTTTATTTTTATATATATTGGGAATAAATAAGTTAATATCCACTTCTAACTCAAAAATTTTGAAAATGTCGAGTGGAGCACTCCAATTCTAAACCGACGATATATCAATTTATTTGACAAAATGTAATGAGATCGTATTTAAAAATTTAAACCCGATTCGGCCCGAAATTTTTAAAAAAATATACCCGACCCAGCCAACCGAAAATATTATCTTTTATCCGGGCTCGGAATTTGTAGATCTCTAATTGTTATATTTCTTTTTTTTGTTCAATACCAGGCGAGACCAAGTCAATTACTTGGACGAGGTTAAGTTTGAAAGACAGTAAGAGAAAAATATATGCATATTAAAAATAATAGCATAATAGTTATCCATAATAACCATAAAACGTTAAGCAATTCTCTTATCCCTTCAAAGAATGATTTTATTTTGAAAAAAACTTCTCTTGCTGCGGCGAAACTGGGTTAGAGCCCGTGAAAGAGGGGTTGAAATTATAACCACAAAACATGGCGCTGTTGTTTTGCTTGAAACGGCCCGGTCCGGGTCCGCAGATGAGAGGGGGCACCAAGCTAATTCTTCTGCCGCCAGACTTTTTGACTTTATGGCCACTGCTACCACCGCTGTAAAGATGACTGCCTATGATCTGACAGGGTGAGGAACATGATCCGCTCTCGTTGCTGCTCAAATAACTTTTGCCGCTTTTATAACTCTTATAACTATCGCTACGGGTCAAATGGGACGATGGAGGGGTGAAAAGACGATTGCTGGATATATGATATAATAGAAAATATTATATAAAATTTATATTGACATTGTAAACATAAATTAGCAAATTTTTTTGGCTTTATATTATCATCATGCATGCCCTTGTTTTTTTGATTCGTGCTAAACTCTGACCAATCTGTAATTAGCCATACTTAATTTATTTTTTAGATAAAATTGTAGTTTGTTTATGGTACACGATTACGTAAAAACAAATCACATTTAATCGAAAAATAATAATACGGTTTATACTTCTTGTGATCCATTGTAAAGTCTTCCAAAACAAAGTTTCAAAGATGTTAACAGAAAAACCCTCTTTTGGACATTACTATTTATATTTTTAAAAGAGAGGCTTAATTTCGTGTTTTTCAATAAAGTTTTTTTCGTATTAATTTTTTTGAATGTTTTGGACACAGGGCATAATAAGATTATGGTCTTTATTTCTATCTTTTTTTAAATATATATAATTAATAAAACCATCTTTTATCATTTTTATAATCAAAAAAAATTCTTTAAAGATTAAAACTACTCATTATATAAACGGTTAGTTAACATGAAAGCTGGTGGCGTTATGGTTATCATGATTAAAATCAAAGTGATTATTTAAATATTTTTGAATAAAATTAAAGGCTTAAATTAATTCTCTTTTTTATTCTTTTGCTAGTATATTTTAAATAATTACAAGTTTGTGTTTTCAAGATAAAAAAAATAAATAAACATTTTAATTGACCTCATTTTTTTAAACTATATTCGGCATTATTAAGTTTTAAATAATTGCTAAATTTTATTTTTATAAATGATTTTAAGTTGTTGTCTTGTGAATCCTGAAATTATTTCATTTAGATAATTGTTAAAATTTAAGGAAATTATATATATATATATAAATCTCTACAATTATTTTGTCCTTCCTTATTTAATTAATATAGATTCAATATTTTGTTTATACTAACTAGCTAAGATTAATTAAAGCGCAGTTTTTAGAGAAAAATAAATAATCAAATAATTGTTAACATATAAAATTTGATTATAAATGGGCAAAAATAATTTGATTATGATCCAAACACGAGGAAATTGCCATTATAGCAGCCGATTTATTAAAATTTATTGACATCGTCAATAATTTAAAAAAATGATATAATTTTATCGAAAACCAATTTTAATAATATCTTTCTTAATCCTAAGCCTAACCCTTCCCTTTAACATTTAATTCTACTCATAACTACAGATACTTGTTTATATTTAAAATATATTCTATCCAATTTTTAAAAAAAAACTTTTTTCAGTTGAGCTATTATCAGATAATATTATTTGCTAAACAATGAACTTATTCATAAATTTCCACAGTGAAGCCAATGTTTAATGTAATAAAAAAAATAAATAACTGCATGATTTAATTATTAACTTTTTTTCGTGGGGTTATTTTATTTAATACTAGTTCATATTTTTAATGTTATTACTAATTTCAAAAATCATGATTTTTTGCCAATATGGCAAATCAAGGATAAAGAGATAAGATCAGCTGTGGAAGTTTAACTGTATTTTTTTTACAAATGATTAAAACTTAGTATTGTTAAATGGCTCGATTTGGGCAGATTTTATAAACGGATAACTTAAGTATTTTAGGCAGAAAAATATTACCAAGCCTCGAGATTCGGCTAATAGATGTCCAAACATTGGTGCCATCTATGAGCAAAATATCTTCAGGCGTGTTTATTTTTTCTTGATAAAATATTAAGTTAGCCGTTTTTAATATATCGACTCAAATCGAGCCCGTTTAACAACATTATTAAAACTGGGAATTAAAATGATAAAAAAAAATTATTAATTTACCTCCTACGTCGTAAAAGGGGAGAATCGTATAAATCTTTCTAAAATATTTAATGAAATAAATAAAATTAATTATTTGAATTTAAAAACAATCATTTTAAATCGCAATGGGGGGGGGGGGGGGTTTGAATGGGAACCTTGAGTAAGATCTGAAGGAATAAAAAATTCACTAAACACACATAGGTGTATGAGCTAGGATTACATATTTTTTTTCCGCCAATTTTCTTGCGGACTCATGCCTCAATAAGTTTTTGAAAACCTATCGATTCAAGCTATTAAAGAAACCAGATTGTCAAAGATTTAATACTTTTAGTCGAATAGCCTATGTTAAAGGTTGTAATCCCAGCATTAGCCCTGCATTCTCAAAATGCGCGAATTCGCGGCAGAGAATACAAAAGTAGAACGAGCTTTTCATAATTCACCGCGAATTCGCGCTAACTATGAATAAAGTATTAAAAAAAATCATTATTATTTCAAGCCTTATGGATATTTAAAACATGATATTCGATCAATTGTATTTTGATATTTAAATTTCAATATTATTAATAGGACGATTAATGTTGACATATTATAAAATTGATGTAATTGAACGTTCACCTATACTCTGGAAGATAATGTAAATTGATGATTTTGAAGAAGAGGAAAAAAAATATATAAAAATAATTGTGAAAAAAAAATAATGTAGAAATTGGATAAAGTAAAGTTTTTTTTCTTTACCTCACGAGGTTTGTAATAGCCTCCTATAAGGGCTATATTAGCCAAGTCCTAATAATTTAATACCTAACCCGGACATTTAGGGCGGCCCAACCCCAAAAAATCGGGTTCGATCTGGCAACTTGTGCAAAATATATTTTTGGTCGGCAAGATTTTTTTAAAAAAACAATAACCCGTATAAAATATTATTCGGCGAATCTCTCAATTTAAAAGGCAGGCGCCATTTTAGGCGTATATCTTAAAATTAAACAACTTGGATAAGCGTTTTATTTCTGTCTTTTTTTTAAAAAAAATAAAGTAATGGTTATAGCAAGGAAGAATATATAAGATAGAGTAAATAAATATAATTTTTAAAAAAAATAAAATTATTTGTTTTCTTTTTTGTAAATCTTATCCAAAATGTTTGTTTTAATTAACGTCATAGAAAAAAAAGAAGGTATGGAGATCGGTTGACGTATCCGATTCGAATTATTTCAATCAAATACGAATAGTAAATTCTATTAATCGTTTGAATACGAATAGTAAAATTATTAGATTTGTTTAAAGGAATAGATTACGAATAATTCATTTCTTTCTTTTTTTAATTAGGTTCAATTATATGTCATACACGAGTTATAATAAGATCTATAAAAATAAAAAAATTAAAGCCAAAAATTAGTAGTAAAAAATTATTTTTTTTTACAATCAGCTGCATTAAACAATTGTAATTTGATACTTTATAAAAATATACTTTTATTTTATTTATAAAGATGCCAAAGACGTCATTCAAACAATTATCTATATAAAAATAAATAAGTTATATAGAAAAATTGTATCCTTATAAAAAAGAATCGTATATTTCTTATTAAAAATCTTATATAATTTAAGGAAGATCGGATAATTAATTATTAAATCAATTACGTCAAATTTAATTTCTAACATAAATAATGCAACATAATCCATATATATATAAATATATACATAATATATACAGCAGGAATTTCGTATGGTATTATAAATAAATGACACTTACCATCTTTAATATCGATTTTTTATACTAAGATTTATTATTGAGCAGGAATTTTTGTTTAATAAAAAATTTTCTATAAAAATTTTCTTAACCAATGGCATCCCCTATAAAGAATTTTTGGCGCATACTCAGTAATTCAGGTAGGCCGTGCACTATTGCCGACGTACTAGCCGTATGTAAAACTTAACTCAAACTAAATTATTTAAAAATATTTTATCTTTATTTATATCATTATCATATATTTACGAGCTGATGTGACGTGTTATAAGATGATAGATTGGGATCCGAGTGGCCTAAAAGGGAGACTTTCAATCGATTCAAGCTAAAGGTGGATGAGGAATTGACAGAATTCAAAGATGATGGATATGAATCTGTAGAATTTAAAAAAATATATAATTGTAATATAATATAGTAATCAATTAAGATAGTAAATGATGATGTAGGCATAGGCATTGGTATAGCATTATGATAAATAATTCTAATTACATAAATAATTAATAAAATGCAATATTACACGTTCTTTCCCGCAAAAAATTTTCAGTTGGAAATAAATCTTCAATCTTACTATCTTCATTTTTAATCAAGATTTCACTCGCCATCATTCCATCAGCTTCTTGACCATTTAAGCTGGGATGATTCAGAGCAGTTATATCATGTGTTTAATATCGTATGTAACACAAAAAAATTCAAAATATTTTACTCGCAAATGTCTCTCCTCCCTCCGTTACTATTACGTTGACCTAACCATATTTTCTAATAAACTTAACTTACTAATAACTATCGCTACTATTAACCCAAATATCGCCTGGCAGTAAAGGGAAACATTTACCAGAAGAATTAATTAGATTGTGTATTGAAGTCTTGGTAACGAGCTGATTATAAAATTTATCCATAAGATTAAGGAATTTTTCCACTGACCTGCCAATAAATCATGGATTAAAAGACGAGGAATTAGAGACAATTAGACATGTTTAATGCTAAAATGCGAGAAGTAGGAATGATAATCCATACCAGCTGGCGGAAAAGGAAATAACTATAATATAATAAATAATTGTTTGACGCAGGATAATTGAATGATCTAATCGATAAGATCAATAGAAAGGTAGTCGGAACGCCCGAGCGTGAGTCGAATGACAATGGTCTAGAACAAAGGGATATTGAAAGGGCACGTTATGTAGAAAATGTAAGACGCGCGAAGTATGGTATAATTACCAATAAAAAGGAAAGGTGGTAAAGGGTTGGAGACGATACGGGAATATAAAAGTGTACATAGAAATTTATCTTCTGATTGATTTTTTTTAATATTATTTATCTTATCATGGTATATTACGTTTTAAGAATGGATTGAGTGCCAGAAGTTATCTGTGTTGACAGCAACAATAGTTATTAAGAGGAGTCAAAATAATAATTCTCCTTTTTGAAAACATGGGTTTATTCCAGCTGTCGAGCAAAGGGAATGTTGACTACAGTGAAGTCGTCGTACACGGAGAAGTAAATAGATATAGCGAGAATTTAAGAATCAGTATTTTTTTGACAATATTCAAGATTTTTTACGGAGGGTAACAACATAAAACCATTGGAAATTATTTATAAAATATGAATTGAGGAACTATTTGTATAAATAATGTTTTAGTAAAAACTTTCTTTCTAGAAATGCCCATTAAATGATACATTTATTCCCCATCTTAATTCACTTTTTCATTAGAAGATAGGGTAAAAAAAAAACATGACATTGATGAAGCATAGGTCATTGTTCTTATAAAAAAAACGTTGACATATACGATTTGCTTGTTACTGATTACAAACTGAATTATATAAAATCGTAAAAGACTTGTTAATAAACGTGTGGAAAAGTTAATCTGCATAAAAATGCCCTTTATACCTAGAACATAAAATTATTTATCCTGAAATTTTAGAAAATGAAAATATATCATCAAGAAGGTGATATCATTACTACTCTCTTTGGTATATCTAATTAATTGGAATCAAACATGACTCTTTTTAGGTTAAAAAAATTGTCAACATTATTTTGATTTTTAGCTAATTTGAGATATTTCTACAAATTTCCTCAAAATGTCCCAAAATTCACGAGGTAAAATTTTGATTTCAAATATCCCGGGATTTTTAAATTGGTTAGGATTTTAGATGTAACTAGTAAAACTCGTTACGCTTTTTGGAATATAACGGCAAAACTAGTAAATAGTTTCTTTTAAAAAGTAACTTTTATCAACACAAGGAAAAATGTTACATTTTATCTCATAAAAAAAATATTAAAAGGGTATGTATCACCATAAATTAGAGTTAATTAGGACTTTACCAATCGACCTTTTTTTATGATTTAAAAAGAATCATTCACAATATCATCCTCTAGGGTAAGTTTTTAAAAACGTGATATTTGATATAACAGATTCTATCTCATAAAGAAAAATCCAAAAGGGTGTGTATCCCCATAAATTAGGGTTAATTGGGTCTTTACCAAACGACCTTATATTTATGACTTAAAAATTATCATTCTCAAAGTATCATCTCTAGGGAGGGTTTTAAAAGCGTGATATTTGATATAACAGATTATTTATTTCCGATTTTTCCATAACAAAAAAATAGATCTTGTTTAAATCATGATTTTATCAAAAAATCGATACAAATCTCATTTTCGTTCAGAACCAAAAATAAATTACAAAATAATTCCATTTGGACCCGTAAAGGCTAAGAAAAAAATTTGAGAATTTAATGAAAAATAATAATAATATAATTTTTCAAATTAAAATGTCGAAATACGAATTCTTGTCATTTTTGGAATAAGTTCTTATTTTTTTTTGTTAAAATACTTAAAAATAGAAATTTTCTTTTATATATAACTCAATTTTAAATCTTCTTTCAAAACCTATGTGTTTCACGAGTTTAGCCTGATTGATTGATTAAAAATGAATAAATTGAGCTAACGGTTATACACGTTATTTAAATCAGTCATAAATCTTTTCTAAAAAAATAAGAGTGAAGTTGAGGATGCTGAGGACCCCTCAGGGATTTGATGACTAAATAATTCAATTATTTTTTTTTCGCGATTTGACATTGTGAATTATAAACTATTTCAAAATATATAAATCTTTCAGTTGAGAAATGAATTTAATTTGAAAAATTTGATTTGACCAAAAATGTATTGCAGAAAATTACCATATATATTTTTATACAAATTTTCGCTTTGCGTTAACTATGTAATATAATAATTAATATATGGAAATTTTTACGACAAAATTGTCTAATTAATTCACAGAGTGTGTAATCTACAAAAGGTGGAATGCATTTCCGGTTAAATCGGAACTTCCGCACTGTGAATTTCAGACAATTTTGCCATGAACGTATGAACCACTATTTAATTTATTATTAATTTTTATACCGATTTTTATTATAAATTTTAAAAAATAAATTTTACAAAAAGGTTGACGACAAAATGGTCTAAAATTCGCATGGATCTATAACCTCGGACACATGTTGAAATGCATGTCCCGGTCATATCAGACTTCAAAATTGTCAACAGTTAAATTTGATAGTTGAAAGATTTCTGATCTCCGTGGATTCCATATCCCAATACGATATTCGCTCATTGTCATTATTTTTTTAATATAACATCAAATTTTTCTAATTCATTAGTGTCACTATTAGCTTGTCAGGTCAGAGACCTGCCCACCCGGTGTGAAGGTAAAATAGTATTAAAAAACGAATGGTCCCAAGCGCCTAAAAGTAATTTGTTTTTTTATAGGACCCCGAGACGGGTTTATTTAAAAAGGGTTAGAAAATTCTATAATGGATTATTACAGCATTCATTTACAGGCTCATACTTTCCATAACTCTTCAAAACAATTTACGATAGATCCAAAAATTCTTTTAAAATAAGGAAAATATTTAAAAATTTCAGGCTAAAAACTTGACCTAGGCCTCTGATACTAATAATTTCATCCTACCAAATTTCTGATTAGGACTAAGGAAAGTGTGAAAATATATGTATTATCATGATTTACGTTATAAATCTATTCTATTTCTGTATTCTTTGCCGCGAATTCGCGCTAATCATGAATAAGGGGTAATGATTCCACAAAATTTCGCTGCATTTCTTAAACAAAAAATGTTATAATAATTTTTTTTTAAATGCTTATACTTACCCCGGTTTCCGTTATTTTCGAAATTTATTGGTAAAAAAATTCTTAATTTAGGGATATTTATTGATGGTATAAAAATAATTTTTCCTATTATCCATAATTCTTTAAAAAAAAATTGTTCAAACTAGAAAAAGTATGTTGCCTTAAAATCGATATAAAGTGTTTAAATTAGGAGAATAATTGGATATAGGTAGAGGTTACCAGATCCTGCTTAGTGGAAAGGAGGACATATTTTTTATGTATTTTTAATAACGCATAAATAAATTTAAAAAATTTAATTGATTTTTTTAAGCTGGATTTGTATATAAATAACATTAAAAATAAAATTTATAAATCTTGCAAATGATAATTTTTTTTTATTCCATATTTCTCACTTACAGATATTTTTTATAGAAATTTAGACAAACCCATTTAAAATGGCATTATGTGCATAAGATTTAAATCTAACTATTCCACTCATTTGTCCATTAATTATCGACTAAAGAAAAGATTCTTTCAATGTTAGCATTATAAGTGGGTATAGGAAAAATGAAGCTTGCTATAATTAGCAGTTCAATATGTTCAGATATATTAAATATCATAGAAATATTTGACCCATTTTCGGTGAAGAGGAAGTTTTGTATATTCAACACACCTCATTTTATTTGTAATAAACAATTTAAAGTTGCAAAATTGGTCAAGCAACTTTGATTCATTTAAGGAAACATTTTATATTTCAAAAAATCAACCTATACTTTTCTGAAATCTGACTAGTTGATATTTATAATTTCCAATCCATTGAAAATCTTCAAATTCTTTAAGAGGTTATGACCTAGGATCAACATATTAAATGCAACTACTTTGATTTTTTATCCATTTTTATTATGTTTCGAATATTGCTTATACTTTTGATGGAAAAATATTTCATTTTTTCATCCTGTTGACAAATATTTTAATGATTTTAAATGACATTTAAATAACTAAATAACTGTGACAAAATAGGCAGGACAACCTCCCCCATTCCCGAATATTTTAGTTTGTAGAAAACATTATTTACAGCTCGTTGTTCTTCCACCAAAATTTGTAATACAATTGTCTCCCAGAAAAGACTATCAATTTAAGATATTCGATTATTTTTGTCCATAACTCATGACAAATAATTAAAGATAGCATCTGACGTTTCATTTTTAAGCGATTTGTAGGGAAATATTTTTAGATTTTGATTACTTGCATCTATCGAAATGGAAATGTAATTTATTTTTAATATCGTCTAAAGCTTAATCTATAGAAAGATATGATTTTTATGAGCAAAATTTCGCGAGTGATTGACCCGATAAGTGGAAAGATGTTTTTTGTTTTAAAAATTATTAAAATTGGAATTAATTTTTTAAAAAGAGGACATATTAAACAAAAAAATGAAAAAAAAGATAATGGACATATTTTTTAACATCCCAAAAGTGATATGTTTTCTTTAAAGAGGATGCTGGTAAGCCTAATATAGGTCATAAAGTTATTGACATCCCAGTAAATATGTGAGACCCGCAGGCAATGGTATAACTTTAAAAATCCGGGAACCTTGATAAAAATATGAACCTTACAAAATAAATTTAAAGTATATCAAATTAATCAGTTGGAAAATCATATAATGTGAGGCCATATTTTAATTTTCCCGTTGAAACAATTTACAAAACCATTAAAAAAAATAAAGAAATTTTAAAAATTCGGTACCCGGCCGAAAAATAATCAAAATAAAAATCCGGATCAGGCCAAATAATCGAAAATTAAAATTCGGGTCAGGTCTGAAAATAGATCCACCCTCCCCTAAATCCGGGCCCTACGACCTCTAAAGGCCTCTGGTAAACATTAATAATTTTTTTTTCTTTATCAGCAACTTCAAAATAGTTATCTAAGGCGGCATTTATAGTAAACGCGTTTTGGCGTAATTGCATAATAGAGCCAATAAAAAATTTATAAATATGGAGCGTTATAAAATTTGAAAAACATGCGATGCGTTGATAAAAAAAAATATGGGATACGATTTATATAAATAATAGCGAATTCGATAAAAAAAAAAAGGTGTATGATTTTTCTTATTAAATAAATTATATAAAATGATAATCTTAGTTTTATCTCAAATTAGTTTTTAAAACTAAATCAGCGACGCTGCTTTAAATAATGTAACGCTTGAAGATAACGCGTTTACTATGAATGCAATGTAATTATCTTCTTTCTTTTATTACAAAAGGCTCAATAATAATTGAATCCAAATTTGTTAATTACTTACGACTATTATCTCTTGATAGGTTATAATTTAAATTTATATTAATGTCGTATTTGGGATGTGGAATCCATGGAGTTTCGGAATCTCTCCATTTTATAATCATTTAGTGAGGGAGATATTCTAAATTTAAAAAAAAATTGATTTGACCGGAAATGCATACCAATATGCGTAGAACAGCTATGCTGTAAATATCGGACAATTTTCGCCATAAACTTTTGCGTAAAATCTATATCATTAATTGATTATAGATTTAAGAATAACTTCCGAAGTTCTAAGCAAGATTGCCTAAAATTGGCGGGTTTTTTTACCCGTTTTCTAAAATATTTTTAAGCATTGTCGGGTGAGTTAAAAAACATAGATGGGTAGGCGGGTTAAAAAAATTATACGAGTAGGAGGGTTGTTGGTTAAAACCCGTCTATTACAGACCTCACGTGGATACTCTATACATTGAATATATTTCCGGTCAAATAATTTAAAATTAAGAGATTCTGAATACCATTTTAAATTGCTGTGATTATTGTTTTTTATATTTAATAATTGTAAAAACTTAATTTAAAAAAAAAAAAATTCGCATGATAATCATAATCGAAGAGAAAAGTCATACTTGAAGCACATAGAGGGAAAAACGTGAAGGGAATCCTAAACAAATTGAACGAGCGCCTATTGATATTGCCTTGTTGGACATAGGGATTGGGAAGCAGGTGACTATAAAAACTATTATTGCCTGAGTAGTTAACGCCGTGCGACATTATGAAATAGGTGATTTAATTTATTTTTTTTAACTATAAGGAAGTTATTCGATTAAACGAATGATTAGTTAATGAACATCTCGAGATTAAGATAGAAATACCATTGGCTCAAATATAAGGCAAAATCCATGATGAACGATTCAGGAAACTCAATCTATCATCATCTATTCGTAATGTTGAATAATTATTTATCTTGTCATTTTTATAGGTAAAATCTTTGATAAAATAGAGGGCTACGTTCAAGTAACGATTAATAAAGTCAAAATTGTCTTTGTAAATTTATCCACTTTTATTTTACTCCTTTGCGCTTTTAATCTCTCCTTCGATTTTATTAATCCAAATATTTCTGACAAAAAAAAAAGATAGTTAAAAAAATATATATATTGGTAATTTTATTTAACGGGAAATTAGATGAGAATAAAATAAATAAATAAAAATTATTAATTTCACGTGATAATTTTTTTTAAAAAAAAATATCTTATATTAAAATATGCGCAAAAATATTTTTTTAAATTATATTAAAATAAAATAGTTTTGTATTGATCCACAAATTGATTAGTTTTTCGTTTTGGGAACCATATTTAAATTAATTTTAAAAATCTGGAATAAAATATTAATTTATCGATAAAAATGTATTTGGGTGCTAAGTTTAGTTTGACCATTTTACTTTGCATTTACAGTTAGCGATGTTATCTATTTTGTATACTTCGCCGCGAATTCGCACTAACTGTGAATGCAAAAAGGAGAATTAAAGAGCAAATTTTTAGAAAATACTTTAGAGGTTTTTATAGTAAACATTCTTACATATTTTGTTGGAGCAATCATCCTTTTTTTAAAAAAAGAGAATTATATCCAAGTTCAGTTTTGATAACTAATTTATTTTTTATTAGTGGGGAGGGCAGGGCACTGCATGGTATTTCTTAATTTAAGAGTTGAAGACATTTTTATTGAAATATTTTACTTTTTTGGAGAGTTACTTAAAGACCTGCAAGTCGACCTGAATTCAGGTATTTTAAACCTCTACTCTATTTTGTGGAAATTTGGATAACAGGAACTTAATCAAACGGATTTTCTAAAAGAGGTCCGAACCCGCCCCGATTCCGTAATATCCTGGGTTCGATGGATTGCCCATTAATCAGTCACTTTGGTTTGTAGTCTCAAAATGTTCAACCAAAAATTTTAATTTCTAAACCCCTATTTGAGTTTGCAACTAAGTGGCTTAAAGAAAATTGGAATTTGATGGCTTGAGGATTATATTTTCTATTTTTATTTAAACCAATCAAATACATACTAAAATAAAATCAAATTTAAAAAAACACTTAAATTTTTCCAAAGTCCTAATAAAATTTATTTTAGCTCTTAAGCCATAACAAGAACTATTATGGTCTAATTCAAAGAAATTGCAATTATAACAGCTGATTAATAATTTCTATTAGTTCATTTATAAATTACATGAATTATCGGATTTGACAGGTTATTAATAAAAATAATTATTATAACACATTTTTGATATATCTTAACCATAACACCTCTCAAACATTCAACCCAAACCCATTCTCTAGCCTTTAACATTACTTCAGATACTTGCATAATTTTAAATATATTTCACCCACTTAGAAAAATTTGTTTCAGTTGAACATTCTTTGAGTTGAGCACTTTATTATCAGCAGGAACTAGGGATGATCCGATATTTTTTATCGGATTTAAAATATGTCTACCGGTCGATATTATTAAATTTTCCGATCCGATAAAATGGCGTCTTAATTTTCAAAAAATTTCATCATATATTTGTTTTTTTACTTATTATAGCCTGCCCATAAAAAAAAGATTTTATACAAGTTACATGATACCTAAATCTTGTGAAATTAATATTTTGCAATATTAAAGGTTTAAAAAAAATGTAAGGTTGCCTCAAAAAATATTTTGCATAAAAGTTTGAGCAATATTTTGGCCTAGTGAAGCTAACTGATGACAGCAGGGTGTATTTAAATAATTAATTTTTTGATTTAAATCAGATTATTTAAAGGGTGAAATTTTACGTGAAAAAAATTATAGTTGGATTTTATCTTAAAAACAAGTGATTATAAATAAAAAAAATTATATGACATAAAAAATATATTGAATGCATTGTTTTATTATTAAATATATTACGTTTATAAAATTATGCTAAAATTTTAGAGAAGAGAAGAATTGACTATTATTGGTCTGGGAAAGGAAAAACTTATAATTATTATATATAATTGTAGTAAATTTACTTGATTAATTTTATAATAAATTTATTTTAGGTGTATTTCTTATTCATTTATGGTAGGTGAAAAAAAGGATATTAATAGGAATTCTTTTAATGAAACTAATTAAAGGAATGAGCAAAATTTTGTAATTATGAATATCAAATATATCTCTCAGAATGCATGTCTATGGTGCAACTAAAAATAGCAAAATGGGTGATATTATAAAAATGATGTTACAACTGAAGTTAAGAAAATTTGCAAGGTCCTAAATTATAAGAATGTGTTTATCAGAGTTTAAAAAAAAAATTTAAAAAGATTTTTGATCAAATTTTACTCAAAAATAGCAAAATCTTTTAGAAAACCTTATCTAATTTCTATGCATAGAAATTTAAAACATAAAAATCTTCAAAGATTATTGTTCAAAATTTTTTTCAAACTTTTGTTTTAACTTCATTGGCAAAATCTTAGAATCATATACCAAGACCATATCCAAATTATAATAAAAACTATAAGGAGACAAAGGACAAAATAGATATTTAACCATTTTCTCTTATTGTAATGCTAAAGATGCAAATTTTAAAGTCAAAAATAATTGTGAGCCAGGTTCAAATCAACCAATATGAAATAAAAAATATAATTTGTTGTAAAAATAGTCACATAATTTCTTTATGTGTTTGTTGGATACTCATATCATATTCTACCTCTATAATATGCATTGATTAATAAAAATTTGTCTTAAAATTTCATTTTGAGAAAAAAATGTTAGTCTTTATTTCATATAATTAAGATTTCACCATGGATTTTTGATTTATGCCATGGTCTTAATAAATCTGTTAATATTTTTACGATTAAATTATAATCATTTATTCCTTTTTAAATTATTAATTTATGATATAGTTAATATTATACCAATTTTTATTTCAAAATTTATAAAAATAATTTATATTTTAAAATAACTTCTTTACTGCCATTATCAAAATTATTTTTTTTACATATAATTATCATATTTTATTTTGTAAACTCATGCTATTACTACAATTTGCCCTAGTTATAGAAAAATGTATGGGCAACGTTGCCCAATCCCATTATAATTATTAAAGAGGTGGCTATAATACAATATTTCTAATAAAAAATATACTTTAGCATTGTAAAATAAATAAATGCTAGTATTTGATTGATTTAATAAGAGTTTACCTAATAAATATATGTCATTCTAACATTCACTCTCCCAATCTATAAAATAGAAAGTCATGAAAAAAATGATAGCTGTCAGTAAACTATGGAATAAAAATTGACATACTTATTTTAATTAACCTATATTTTAATGATCCATTATAATCATTTTGATTATCTTAAATTACAATGTCTTATTAAAGGCCCTTCCGACTAAGGTTATTAAAAATACCGATTCGGGTCTATTTATAAAAAGGTCCCAATAAAAATTTTGCTGAAGTAATTTTATGTAGCATGTAGCTTGTATATTTTTCTCATAGCTGCCAGCATATGGACCTCTATTTGCCAAATATCGGAGCTTAATATTATTTTGGCTTAAATCTTAATTTGGCCATTTTAAAATTGGGCGTTTTGCAACACTACTCCAACTGTAAGCCTGAGCTTGATATAAAATTAGCGCTTTCAACCATGAGGCTTATAGTTCTTTATGATATTTATACAAATAAACAAGGGCCCCTACAACGGGGGGGGGGGGGGGAGTTCTTAAAATTTGAATCTGGGTTTCAAAAAAAATTTTTATTTTTTTTTAAATCTTTAATTTTTTAATTTTATTTCATTTTTTGTTTCAACACACCCATCCATAACCAAAAGATTTCTTATCTCATAAAATTATTTTTCCAATTTCAAAATATGCTCAAAAATAACCAGAAAAAATACAAATGCTTAATTAATTAATGCACAAGGCATAATATAAGAAATGATAAATTAGCAGACCATAATAGAAAAAGACATGGCGCGCAAAATTTTAACGATATAAAAAAGGACTTGAAATATGTCAAATTGTATATTTAAAAAAATGAAGAAAAAAGAAGGGAGATAAAATAAAAGGGAATATAATTCAAATTATATTCTAATCTAAAGCCGTATAATATATAAATATTCTCATTAATAAATACATGAAAAATATGGTTATAAAAAAATTTAAAATTGATTGAGTTTATTTTTTACAATTATAGTTGATGTTCATATGATGTTTCGAAATCAGAAGCAATAGTTTTGCTTTAAAAAATATATAATATGCAAACTCCATGAATCCACCCCTTGAATTCTTAGTTGGACAAAGCTATGAGTGAACTATGATCATTTTCGGTTTTTTTTTCTGGCTTTTGACATTTAGATGATTTAAACAATCTTTAACTTTATATAAATTTAAAGGATTAGGCTATATAAAGAAACTTAAACAATGCCTCTCCAAAGATATCTAAAATTAAAGGGGTTAATTTTTTCCAAAATACCCTATACTTTCGGCTTTTAGAAGCCCGTATCTCAACATCCGTTTGAAGTTGGAGGCTAAAATTTAATTTTTTCTTAGTTATAATATATGCAAACGCTAGTAAATATTTTGGAATAATTTGAGAAGGTTGGGTTGAAATTCATGTTGATTTGTCATGGAATTTACCATATATAAATTATTTCTTAAAATCGAATTCATTTATAAAGATGCTATTAAAAACTTTAGCTTTGATTGTTTTAGCATTGAATGGTATGGAGATCGTAGAAGCTCAAAGTAAAATAAAAAAAGGGAGCATATTTTGAAAATTTATTTCAATTATTTTTTTTTGTTCTTCCTTATGCTCAGGTCAAAATTTTATATTCTTTGAGAATGGACTACCAGTAGCAAGCAATCTATAGCATCAAATAATAATATAATATTTTTTATATTATTTTTTATATTCTTATTTATATTATTTTATATTAAAATATCCTAGTATATTGCAGGGAGTAGTATGTCCAAGGAATGTTCCCCGAAAAGTTCAAGCTAGCTTAGTATATACTGAAATGATCGCCAAGACAATAAAATAACAAATATTACTGAATAACCTCAATCTAGACGATGTTTCAATCAGGTAAATGTCATATTATTTGCGACATTATAATTTCTTTTTGAGTGATAATATAAAAATTGTTTAAATTAATTTTCTATACATTTTCAGATAGATACCCGAATTAATGAATCTATTTATTTGGATTTTAGGAAAAAATAAATTATAACCACCCCAAAAAAATGGTTTTAATTTAAAAAATTAATTTTTTTAAATATAATTTTAAACCTTTCAAGAAAACTAAAAAAGCTCCGTTTTCACCTAAAGATATGAAATTCGTATCAAGTTAAAGATTTTAAAAGTACATTCGGGCTTAATCATTTCCTCACTATAACCCTGCTTTCCAAGGGTTAAATTCCATCATTATGAATTCGGTTTTTATATCAAACGTGGATTCGAGATTCTTACTAAATCAGTTACTTAGGCCGATTTTAAAATTTAAAATATGGAATTTGATCAGAGATTTTAGCATGTAGAAAGTATATACTTAGTCTACAATTTTCCGACCATTTTTCGCAAATTTTGAAACATGTTCCTGATTTATATTAAATAATATATTATTTAAATTTAAATACAAGATTTTATTGCAAAATTTACCATTTTTTTTTCTATCTCGATATTTTAAGTAGTATATTATTTAATATTTTAAAAATAGCTTCTTAAAATTTGTTATAATCTGTTTATATAAAGGAGGTTCTGATGACCTTCCTTTATTTTTAATAAATGTTCGAATCAGTCAAGGTTTGTCATGCTCATATGTTTTGTTTGCTTAATTTGAATAAAGATTGAGGATAAAATACTTTTAATACTTGTGGGAGAAAATAAAATTAAGAATACAAGCGTGGGTTGGTATTTATATTAAAAAAATTGTAAGGAAGAGATAGAGGTGACTTAAAGTTAAAATTAAATTAACTTAATTAAAATATTGGACAAATAAATAAGATGATGTTGCAATTTAAAGTTGGAACTAATAAATTTTTTTCGATATGAAAAAATGTTGGAAGAACGTCAAGTTTCATAGTTTCGATCAAATAGATGTCATTTTTTTGAAATATTTTACTTTTGTTTTGCAGTGAAAAAGTTTCAAATAATTTGTGATAAATAAATGTAATGCCAAGAAAAATCTTTTAATGGATATTAATTCATATATTAAACTGGTATATTTATTTCTGCTATGAATGTGATAAATAAATGTAAATTTGTATATGTATGCGATAAGAAGTAGCAATGATTATTATAATAGTTTTAATCATGCTACCATTGCTATAACGTAGCTAAGATTTATTTATGTTTAAAAAAATTTGTGAACTTCGTTCCCAAGCCTTATTTTGCCCGCCTTTCGGTAGGGTCCCTCCTATAAAAATATATTATTTTTCGTGATTATCTATATATCATCTGCTTTAAAGTTGATTGAACAATTGGAAGTACCAATTCTGAAATATGCCAATGTTTTATGCTTTATTAGCGTCTCTTTAACTAGTATAGTAGCCAGCATAACAAATGGTCAACTTTACGATTAAAGTGCGGCTGAAGGTATCTAAAAATTTTATCAATGTTTAGTGCACAATTGTATTTAATCTGTTTGATAGTCAATAGAAAGAAAAAAATGGCATTCTGAATGGAAAATATTAAAACTATATATCCGACGTGCGCTAATATTTAGTGCCTGGTATATAACTCCTCAATCAAATATGAGAACCACAAAAAAAACTGAGTTATAAAAAAAATTAAAACTACTACATCACGCTTTAAAAGTGAAGCTATACAAGTTTGGAAAAAATGTGAAACTTATACCAAACCATTAAGTAGGGCCATATTAGAACATTTTATTGTTTTATTCTGTTTGATAGGTGGTTTAAAGGGAAAAGAATAATTGATAAAAAATAATCAAAATTAGCATCATGCCAGAACGGAGAATATAAAAGTTATAACTATCTGGTTTGCGTTAATATTCAGAGCCTTTCTTATTAATTCTTTAATCAATTTCGCCAGCCACCAAAAAAGTAACCGAATTAAAAGCAAATACAAACTATGACACGTAAAGTCATCCAAAAATATGGAAGCATTATCTATGATATATATGTCAATAATTATTGAGTAGTTCATACTTTTTAGTGCTTCAACCTGTTTGGTAGAAGTTTAAAGAGAAATAATATTGGAAAAATAAAAATAACTTGCTAAGATTGACTCATGTTAGAAGGAAAATTATAGAAGCTATTAATAATATGTAAGGCATGATAAATACCTATTAATTTCTCAATCAGTTTTTCTGATCAATAAATAAAAACAAGTTATAAGCGAAATAAAATTAACGGACCTTCGGCTGGTTTTAAATATTGAATTATAAAATTGCGATTCAAAAATCAATTACATCTAAGCATTTAATTTTTTTCCCCCCTTAATATATTTTTGAATCTTATGGTTAGATGTTGCTTGTTATTTTCAGTTTTATTCTATAGATATTTAACAATATAAAAATTATATTATTAAATTTATAATTCAAAAAAATGATTGGGGGGGGGGGGAGGGGTATTGGGTGAAAGAAAAGTTTTAACTCCAAACCCCCCTTGTCTACACCACTGCACCATTGGCATACGAGGGATAAACTTTAAGGAATTTCCTCCCTCCTACCATAAATATTATTGTTGAATGTTAATAATATAGGGGTGCGAACCTGGCATAGATTTTAGTCGAGTACGGTTTGGGTTCGGTTCACGATAAAATGAATTAAGTGGGTTCGGTTCGGGTTTGATTCAGAGAAATATTTTTAAACCCGGGTTTGGTTCCGGGTTCCGATCGGGTTTAGGAAGTAAGTATAAACATGAAAATTTAAACATATTATCATAATTAATTATAATTCTTATGATTTATTATTTAATTTTGAATTGAAATATATTTTCAATTTGTAATTTATGTTTTCATTTGTATTATAAACCTAAATCACGTGTTAATAATTTAAAATGTCATGGCCTATTTCTAAATCTTTGAAAGTAATTTAGACTATGATATTAATGAAATGGAAGATACCAGGGAAGGAAATGTTCTTAATACCTATAATTCAAATTTCCTATTCCCTAGATTTTAAAAAATTTTTTAAATAAATATAAAAACCAAAACTAGCTTCAAATTTATTTGTTTAAAATGTAAAAAAAAATATTTCCTCAAATCAATCCAATAGCTATAACCTCAAGAAACACCTGAAGGT